CAATGCACCGGATCCCATCTGAACTCCGAAGTTAAGCGGCGCAAGGCCCGGTTAATACTGCGGTGGGGGACTCCGGGGGAGTCCCTTTGGGTGATGACGGCCTCTTTTCTTTTCAATTTACACAGCTCCCGTGCATACATTTTTTGCACGCTCCGCTTATTCCTCCACCAATTTCATCTATTCATTCATGCCCACCACAGCTACCCACGCTTATGTATACAAAATGCACATGTCACTCGGGCAAACGCACACACACACACATACACATACGCATACACACACATACACATACACACGCACACGCATACACAAAATCCACTCTCCAACACACAGGCTTCTGAACGTACACACACATACACATACACACGCACACGCATACACAAAATCCACTCTCCAACACACAGGCTTCTGAACGTCCCATGATCAACATTCCCTTCCTCTATCCTCAATAGGCCTTCACACTTGCGCATTCCGACCGACAGGATGCGCCACTCCGAGCCCTTCAAATCCAAAATGCCAGTTCTGTCTCCAGGCGCTCACATGCAACCACACACATACACATACGCATACACACACATACACATACACACGCACAAGCATACACAAAATCCACTCTCCAACACACAGGCTTCTGAACGTCCCATGATCATTATTCCCCTCCTCCACCCTCAATAGGCCTTCAAACTTGCGCATTCCGACCGACACGCTGCTCCACTCCGAGCCCTTCAAATCCAAAATGCCAGTTCTGTTTCCAGGTGGTCACACGCAACCAGGTGGCGCTAATCCTGCGTCGTCATTACTTTAGCGTTTTTGGTGCTGCAACCAAGTGGCTCTGCCACTCCGAGCCCTTTAAATCCAAAATGGCAGTTCTGTCTCCAGGCGCTCACACGCAACCAAGTGCCTCTAATCCAACATCGTCGTTAATTTGGCTTCTTTGATGCAGCGATTTGAGATGAGCAAATCCTCAAGTGAGGCATAGGAGGGGAACCTTTAGCGCCGCCCATGTAGTGAACAACTGGCGTACGCTGCCACTACGATAGATCCCTAGGTAGGCTGAATAGGTGCACACACTATATCTAGGCACCAAAAACTATATTTCTTGCTGCAACCACCAATAAACACAACCAACAACCATACATACGATCGACGTCCAAATATTGTTCGGAAGGGGAAACCAGAACAATAGAACTGATGCCCGGCTCTCGCCGAGGGCGTGGGCCAGGGTCACTGCAACAGCCTCGCACCCAGCCGCAAGCTGGTGCCGGCTGGTGACCACTCTGATCCTATGAAGCTGCTTTTCAACGTAAAAGTGTTTTAATCCTTGAATTATTTTACAATATTCGTTGCTTTACATGATTTTAGGCCTCTAGAGGCCACACCAAAGCTCCATTGTAGTGCCGGTGCACTACAGCCCGTATCCAGCGCGAAGCGCACGCAGCCCCATCGTAGCCCTGGAAACAGGCAAAATACGGGTTTGTTAGTTGGATTTAAGTAGGTATGGTTTGTAGCAGATGTGGAGAAGATGTTAATGGTTGTGCGTATTTTGGAGAGTGTTTGGTTTGCCGTCGTTCATACTGCGTCGAATACAGCGGATCCCACCTGAACTCCGAAGTTAAGCGGCGCAAGGCCCGGCTAATGTAGCGGCTTGTCTCTGAGGCGATGCGCCTGTGAACTCACCTTTTGCTTCTCTTGTACAATGGCGCCTAGGGATCCGTAGACTAGTGCCTGCGGTGTCACCCGAGACCCTCGTTTTTCACAGTATGCCTCGAGGGTTAGGTACTTCTCTTCTTCGTAAATGTGGGATGCGCTGAGCGAATTCTTCTTGTAGTCCTCGAGGGCCATAGCCGCCTTTGCTTTTGTCATTGTCTTGTGTTTTCGTCTCTCATGATGATGTCTAGCCTCGGTAATGCCTCCACGTCTTCTTGGCAGCTGTCAACCTTTACTGTCTTCCTCCTATGAACAAGCTGTTCTTGATAGCTCTTGTGATACTCTCCAGTGCCTTGTTATACCTAGTCTTTATCTTGCAGTCTTGGCTGTGGGCATGAGCGAGTGTTTCAATGCCAGCCGTGTAGTGGCGGCAACGTGAAACCTTTGAGAGTTGGATCGTCTCGAGGGGGAATCTGTGAAGCTCGTGCTCTTATTGCGAATTTCATTTCCTCTGGCTTCAGGGGCGTGGGTCCCTTCATGGCACACAGCATTGGTACTTTGTGTCTGGTAGGCCAAGGATTTCCCTTGATCTGCCATTCCTTTCCACACATATCGCTGCCAACCTGCCATATACTGCTTTATGCTTCTGATGAGTTTCTTCTGGTGTAAGGAGGAGCCTTCTGCTTTCTGAACAAGATACAAGCTCTCATGAATCCCAGTGTCGATTAGCGTCTTACGCACTGATATGTTCCCAGCAGCTCTGACCACAAGGTCCTTATATCCACCTTGTTGCCTCCCCTCTTAAGACATCCAATACAGCGTCTGTTAATGCAGGCAAGCATAGCTTGCTGTTGCTGGATTTGCAGAGCTTCTTCTTCTGCTGCTGGATTTGCAGAGCTGCTGCTGCTGCTGCTGCTGCTACTGTTCTTCTTTGTACTGCCTCTGGTACTGCTCTTCCGTTTTTTTCCGTCTTTCATATTATTAATTTAGGTGTCCTTTTGCTCATTTTCAGTTTCTTTATCTTTGCTCTCTGTGCACTAAAGTCGTCTTCTTTCTTCTTAATTTTAAAATTATTTTTTTGTGCCTCGTACTACTGATGCCTCCCATGTGTGGAGCATGCAGAGAGAAGCAAACATACTGCAACTCCTGCATGCGCTTTCTCTTCTCTATAAATGATGCTTTTAGGCACAAAACGAAAAAAAAGTTTTTCAGCGGACGTTGCACTCTCTCTGCCTGGTGTATCTACAACAAACAACCTATCAAACACAACAACTGTCAATGGTGCTGCTGCTTCTGTTGACTGCTGCTTCTCTTGGTTCTGCTTCCTCTGCACATCGAGTTATTTCTGCTTGTACCGTTTTTCCTGCTGTTGCTTGCTGCTTGTGTTGCTGCTGCTTCTGTTGGTGCTGCTGCTGCTGTTGCAGCGGCAGCAGCAGCTATCTCTTCTGTTTTTCGCCACCAGTTCTCGGCGGCCGCTGCTGCTGCTGTGGTATGTTCATATGACTGCTTTAGAAGCTGTAGTGGTGAAACAGCAGCAGCAGCAGCAGCACCTTCCCTTTCAACCCCGGAAGGCTCGGACTGTTTATCTTGTCGCATGCGCACTGCTGCCATTAGAAAGCAAAAAAGAAATGGAACCAAGCTGCAAAGCTCACCTACTTGTATTTCGTCTAATACTAAAGGCATTTAAGAGTAGGGGCTGTCTACCTTGACTGCTCCTCTTCTGCATGTGTTTGCGTGCATGCATGCACTGGGCTGCGTGCTGAATATCAATTGTCGTCTAACAACTTTCGCGTACTTATGGAGACTGCGTGATGTTCATTGGTGCATCTACAGGTGGAGAGGAAACAGCAACTACAGAATAGCAGATAGCAGCAAGGGACAGCAGCTGAAGCAACAGGGCATCGGTAGCAGCCCTCTGGAGACGCAAACGGCAGATGCAGCGAATGAAACTCAATTGAGACTGAACAGAGGCCGCTTGGTTGCTGTATTCCGAGATTATAAGCTGCGGCAAGAAGTTGTATTGCCTCTTCTTGCATGCATAGGGCTGCACGCTTCTGTGCAAGAGGGTGAGAAGAGGCGCGGATATGCTGCTATACTGCAGCAGCAGCGTCAAACAGCCACCGAGCAAGGCTCGCAGCAGAGCTGCTTCAGTTGGCCTTGGCTTGCATGAGTTCTGCCCCGTCGGGTGTCTTTGCAGAACGAGAAGAAAGCGGAGCTGGGCAGGGAGTGCTGCGGTAGAACCGTGAAATATACACGAAGAATAATACAACTAAAATAAATATAGAGAAATTAATCAGGAAATTACGTAAATAGACGTAGCTGTCGCTCCCTGGAGGAGGCCGAACGTCGGCCGTTTCCTCTGTATCGCACACGCACAGAAAGAATATCACAGTATGAACGCCAGCTTAACGCTAAGAGGAGGGAAACTGCACATTAAATGACGAGAGTGCCAGTACCAATGCATGCAGACAAATACACGGGAAGGCATCCTATTGATCTACACGATATTACATCCTCACAGAGAATAAAATTCTCATTAAGAAACAAACTTACGAACGTCTTGCATTCCACTGCCTGCGCGGAGCTGCCCAAGGCCGTCGTCTAGCCCTCGAACCTACGTAAAAAAGTGGAAAGTCGATAGAAATTCGTCACCAATGAAGCCATTTGGACCTAATTTGAATCGATTAAGGAAAAGGGTGTAAAGGCTTTTAGCATGGAGATTTAGCTCGTTCAGATCCACAAAATGCTACTGAAACAATACAGAAGTGCTTCCACGGTGCAAGCGTATGGTGGATAGGCAGCTTGGATAGTCGTCTGTGCAAACCTGAAGAATGTGGTTCATCACAACTGCAACTCTCGCTCCAGCAACGAGGATGCGCTTCTTGATTATTTCAAAAAAAAGGAACTCAGCAGTTCTGTCTAGAATATAAACATTTTGTTCGTTTTTCTTCTTCTTCATGCGCTTCAACAAGGGGTAGATCTGCGGAAAGAAAATGAACACGAACGTAAAAGTTTCAGCGTGATCCCTTGGATATACGACATGAATTTCTTCAACTTAACCAAAAGAGCTTCTCTCCTGCTCTTTCTAACAGAGGAATGCAGCTTGAACACCCGCACGCGCACGCACACCCACATCCACACCCACACAGATAAACAGACCTCAGAGCAGAGCAGAGCCCGGTTCTCCTTTGCCCAAGATAGAAAGTAAGTCTCCTTTCGTGCGGCAAATACGGCCTTTTCCTCCTCGTAGAAGGTCTTCACCGAGTTAACATGCGTCCATCCTGAACAGATACAAAGTTAAAAAAAAAACAAAATATACACGCGCAACGACAAGCAACAGAAACTCCGCCGTAGCAGCACCAGCTGCCCCCCACAACCTAAATGCCGTACACTACGCCTTAACGCTCTGGGCCCCTCTTCAAGCCCTCTAAACAACAACAGCAGCAGCAGCAGCACCACCACACCTCCATCTGCAGCAGCAGCATCCAGAACAACAGCAGCCGAAGCAGAAACCACAAAAGAACAGCAGCCAAAGCAGCAACCAGAGATGGTGCATGCATAAAGTTCTCTTCAATTCACCTGAGTACCAGAAGGTCTGCCTTTCACTCATTATCTTCTTAATAAATGCCCCCTCAATAAATTCATACAAACTGCTGCGGTGCTTCTCTCGCGTGTCGTCCCCCACTTCATAGTCAACTGCAGGCAAAAGCAACAGAGCGAGACAATTCCATTCTGACTTAATAAGCAAACAACAAATAAACAAACATCAAAACAAGACAGCACAACCTCCGCTGCACTCAGCATGCCTGGCACGCTGTCGCTCCTACAGCTGCTTCTGCTGCAACTGCTGCAGCAGCAGCAGCTAATGCACCAGATAAGCAGCAATGGCACCGAGCTCACTGAAGATATTTCTACCGAAATCGTCGGCGGAGGAGCCCCAGTGGAGCGGTTCGTGGAGATCACCGATGAGGTTGATGACATACTTCACCTAAGAGAAGACAAAAAATAGTGAACAAATGCAACTAAATATAAAATATTCACCTCCATCAAATCAATATATTTAAATATAAAACGAATATGCTTAAATGAGCCGAATATACCTAAACAAGAAACAAATGTATTTAAATATATTTAAATATCAACACCAAACAAATGCCTTCATATTGATTCTACCAGTAGAAAAACTGTAACTGGGATTGCAACACATATAATATTAATGACAGTGCACGTACGCGTAACACAAATACATAAGTAATGCATATATATATATATATATCAGTACATATATGCATAACACAAATACATAAATAGCACATGCATACAGATATATATATATATACATATATATATATATATATACTGATGCATAAATACGCAAGAGAAACACATAAAAACCTGCTTGCGTCTTTCGCCGAGCATTCTCCCTTCCAAATGCATCCACATGATAGCTACATCTATGAATAAATATGTACGAGTATTATATAGATATATATCCAGACATATATACATATATATATATATATATGTATATATATCCATCAGAACCAACACAGCATTCTCCCCTGCTTATTGCATGGACGTATTAAACGCATTTTCAGAATTAATGAATGTATATATATATATATACATTCAATAGTTACATATATATACATATATATATATATATATATATATATATGTACATGCATACATGCGCAAATAAACATATATATATATATATATATACATATATATACGTATATATGCATAAGCCAGCTAATGCTCCCGTTTGTAGACGCATGAACATAGAAAATACATGCATATAACTATAAAAATAAATAAATATAAAACTATGTATTCAAACAAACAAACTGCCTTTTGTCTATACACCCATATATTTGTTGCCGCTGCCTGCAGTCCTTACAGCATCTGCATCCGTCGTGTTGATGCCATGGGGAAATACAAACTTGTCCGTGCGGATCACTGGATTCTCTGCAGCAGCAGCAGCAGCATAACAGCATCAGCACGACAGCAGTAGCAAGCAGCATGGCAGCAGCAGCAAGGAAAGAAGCAAAGCCGCCTGCAGCACGGCAGCCACAACTGCAGCAGCAGCGGCACGGTAGCAAGAAGAAATGCAGCGGCACTGCAGCAGCATCACCAGCAAGAACGCACCAGCGGCAGCAACAGCAGCACGCAGCAGCAGCACTGCAGCAGCAACAGCACGGCATCAGCAACAGCGACAGTAGCAGCGGCAGGGCATCAGCAACAGCAGCACAGCATCAGCGCAGCAACTGCCACCTACCTTCATCTCTGGGTTCAGTGTTTTTCTCCGGCGCTGTTAGCCGGTAGAAGAAGTACGTAAGGGCCTCCAGTAGACAGCCGTCTTGAGCTGCTGTTGAACTACTGCAGAAAGACCTCTCAATCTTCGTATTTGCTGCAGTGAGTGCGGGGGGGCATGTTGGCTGCCGCTGGAAGTGCAGAGGCGCCGTCAAAGGATACTTCTCTGTCACCCGGTGAGCCCAACCTGCAGCAGCAACAGCAGCAGCAGCAAAAGCAGCACCAGAAACGGCGCCGACGGCCGCTAAGTGCAAGCAGTTGCCGCGCCATCAACAGCAGCAACAGAAGCTGCACGGTAGGGCAAACCAGCAAAAGCAGCGCAAACAGCAGCAACAGCATCAGCGGCAGCAGCAGAACACAGCAGCTCCGCCTACCGGAGACGTCCGCCACGTCCTTTCCATTTAGCAAACGGCGCAGCGCCTGGTTCGCCTGCATTGTGAGGCCTGCAGCAGCAGCAGCCTCAACACCTTAAAGCGCTTCAAACCCAACTCGCCCCGCTAGCAGCAGCAAAGCAGCAAACTATACGCTGCTGCAGCTGCGACAAAGCGGAAGATAAATGCATGCAGGTAGCTAACGCAAACCGAGGAACCCCCTCAGCAGGAAAAGCCTCCAACATGCATGCGTAAAGATCACCATTACCTGATAGGGCAGTCATGGAGATCGCTTCGTGTGCAGGGGCCTCGAAGGCAGCAGCCATTTGCTGCTGCAGCTGCAGCAGCAGCAACAGCAGCAGCAGCAGCAGCGCGGCAACGCTGCTGCCTCTAAATACATTACGGAGAGACGACATCTCCTCAATGGCAGCAGGCGGCCTGTTCGCGAAGGAGTTGGTGCTGCAGCCGCCGCCGCTGCTGCTGCTGCTGCTGCTGCTACTGTTCCTAAGCTGTCTTTGCTGCTAGTGTTGTTGCCGCTGCTGCTGCGGCTGTGTGGATTTTTGCAGCCCCCTTGACGGGTGCAGCGGTGCAGCAGAATATATCTTGGCTCGCTGCGGCAGCAGCTGCTGCGGAGCCCCGTTGCTGTTGCTGCTGCCGCCGCCGCTCCTGCTGCTGCTGCTGCTGCTGTTGCTGAGGAGCCGCTCCTGCCGGTCCTCACGATGAAAGAAAGACAAAACACCCAAAGGCAGGTGTGCGTACACTCGAACTCAAGAAAGACAGAACGCTACCCGAGACGGCAAGGCTGTTGCTGCTGTTGTTGCTGCTGCTGCTGCTGCTGCACGCCCCCGCGAACGACTCCAGGTGAGGCGAGGCCAGAGGCTGAACCTTAAGCCCTAGACCCCAAAGCCACCTTCAACATTACATCATCTTCAAAAAGGAATTCTTCAACTGCTGCTGGGCCCCCCTGCGCCTCTCCGACGGTTGCGGATTCGTAGCCGGCAGCAGCAGCAGCAGCAGCAGCAGCAGCAGCAACAGTAGCCAGCCCTCACGAGAGTAGATGCTGCGCCCGTTCCCACAGCAGCAACAGAGCCAGCAGCAGTTGTTGCTGGAGGAGAGGTTTCTTTTTTTAGTTGTTTCTTCGTCCGATAATTCCGCTGGTCCTCTCGCATGCACAGCTCATCGCGCAGCAGCAGCAGCAGCAGCAGCAGCAGCAGCAGCAACTGCAGCCGGAGTCGTCGAGCCTTGCCTCTCTCCATGTTCCAGGGACACTGCAGCAACAACACAGCAGCTGCTAATAAACATTGCAGCAGCAACCCGAAGGACTCCCCCTAAAACAAGCGCAGCTCTTACTCTGTTGATAGCCAATGCCCGTCGCTCCTGCCGGGCTGCCGTAATGACCGATGTTGCTGGTTGCTGCAGCAGCAAAGGAAGCAGCAGCAGCTGCAGCAGCTGCTGCAGCCAAGTGACCAGCTGACCCTGAAGTATCGACTAGGATTGAGCCCTCCAAGTACCAGCAACGGCAGCGTCAGCAGCAGCTGCGGGAGCAGTTGCAGCTGCAGCAGCAGCAACAGCAGCAGCCGTTGCTGCAGCAGCTGCAGCAGCAGCAGCTTAAACGCCAGAAGCTACGAGTTATTTCTGTAGCAAGTTGATTGATCAACAATGGGGCGCCCTCCGCCTCGGCCGCTCATGGCGGTGGTGGTGGTGCTGCTGCTGCTGCAGTGCTGCTGCTTTCCTGCTGCTGCAGCGGGAAGTGAAGAATCCTCTGAAACAAGCCACGTGAGCAGCGACAGAGCAGGGGAGACCGAAGGGGCCGAAGTATGGAGAGGGCAGCAGGAGACAACGGAGGAGGAGGAGCTGTACCCGCCCGCTGCACCAGAAGCAGCAGCAGCAACGACAGCAGCACCAACAGAAGCAGCCACACCCGTGGGGGCAGCCACCACCGCAGCAGAAACAGAAGCAGAAGTCCTTTCCTTTGAAGATCCCCACGGTGTCAGTACACTCGAACCACAAATCCCCCAGCTGGGGGCTGAAGCAGGTGCTGCGGTTGCTGCCCACATGGCTGCGACCGAGGAGGAGGAGCTGCAGCAGCAGCTGCAACAGCAGCAGCAGCAGCAACAACAGCAGCAGCAACAGAAACACGACCAGCATATGACTGAATTCAAAGAAGCGCTCAAAGCACAACTCGGTAGAGGAGCTAAACAACTGCATGGGCTCCGCTTGGATATTAATTGGCTGAAGTCGGCTGTAAAGGATCTTGACCTCACCAAGGAAACTCTCAGTAAACCCTAAACCCTAAATATCTGAGTTTGCTTATTCAAAAGACACACCCAAAGAGGCAACCTGTACCGCCGAAACGTGTGGAAAGGGGGGGTTTAGGGTTTGGTGAAGGTGTGGGGTTTGGGGTGTATGTTCAGATCAGCCGCACCCGTCTCAGCCTCTTCTCGACTTACTGCTAGAGCGAACAGCTACATTAGAGTCGCGTGTAGCGGAGTATATTGAGGGAAATTTTACAGAATTTAGAGAGCAACTGGGGGACCATATTGCTCTCAAGTTGCTGCCGCTTCACCAAGTACCGCCTCAAACCCTAAACCCTAAATGCAAACCCTAAACCCTCGTAAACCCTCTTTTACCCTCGCTAGCCATCAGGAACGCCAGGACAGGCCCACCCCATGGAGCGTGTAGCCGACGCGCCAAGTAGGGGGCCCCTTCTTATTCCAGCTTTTAGGGTTTAGGGTTTAGGGCTTATGGCTTAGGGTTTGGGGTTTAGGGTTTGCGTGTAGGACTACGTAGACACGACGTACAAGGCGGCCACTTTGGTAGCAGATCTGAGGAAAGTGACAGACGACCTGCGGCGGGTGGAAGCGGAAATCAATGTCATTGCTGCCGAGCACGTGAGGACTAGGGCTTAGGGTTTAGGGTTTACGGCTTAGGGTTTTAGGGTTGGAGCATTGTGCAGCGTTGGAGCAGTGTGCGTAATTTGAAAGATGTGCTTCTTCTTCGCATTGAGCCGCGTTTATCTCTACGGCCCTCTAGGGTTTATTGGGGTTTGTTAGGGCTTATTAGGGTTGGTTTATTAGGGTGGTTTTATTCTTAGCTCATGAGGGTTTATGGGGGTATATTAGGGTTTATGAGGGTGTATGAGAGTTTATGAGGGTTTATGAGGGTTTATTAAGCTTTATGATTGCTTGTTGCAGCTGGAGAGGGTGCGGGTGTGGGCGGCGGAGCAGAGCCTGAAGTTTGAGGAGGCATTAAGAGAAGCACAGCCGCGTTTGTTAGAGAGGTTTGAGCAGCAGAAGAGACAGGAACAGACGCGTGTAAACTTTGCTGTCTTAGAGGAGATTAAAATAAAAGCAGCAGCAGAAGATGCATTAAAAGAAATCGCAACAAGAGGATCAGCCTTCACCGATCTCAGCGGCTGCTGCACCGGATACACTGCAGCAGAGGTTGCAGAATTGCTGATGCATGAACTTGACAAGCTCAAGGAACCAAATCTCCGCATGTACGTCCTCACTCCCTAGCTGTATATACACCCCAAATAATCCTAACAGCGAAATATACCCCTCGATTAACTATGCCGCAACTCCTCGCTGCGAGCCCTGCTGCTGCATTGCTGTTCGTTGTGCTGCTGTTGCTGCTGCTGCTGCTGCAGCATTCCAATATTTATCTTAACTGAGCCTGACGAGGAGGAGCCCTGGGTGCCTCCGCATGCATTTCACCTCCCTCGTTTTGATTTGAGGGGAGGAGGCGAGACAGAAAGAAATGCAAAGAGAGGAAACAACAACGAGGCAATGAAGAGAGAAATCAAAGCCAAAGTTGGAGAATTCAAGTACTCAAAACCCTAAACCCTAAACCCTTGCAACATTAAGCTCTGTTAACGATACACCCTAAACCCTTTTGACTTCTGACGCTAAACCCTTCTGACGCTAAACCCTTAGAAGCCGAAACCCCTACCCTAAAGCCTAAACCATAGCTCTTAGCCAGTAGAGAGAGAAAGCAAAAGGAAAGGCGCAGAATTCAAATATCACAGTAATAAGCCCTAGTTCGTTGGAGCCAATCAATGAACCCTAAACCCTAGTCAATATTCTCTAAGTAATGAGCCTCAAGTGATAAATCCTAATGATAAACCCAAATTATAAACACTAATCGTAAACACTAATTATAAACCCCAATCATAAACCCTAATTAGAAACCCTAATTAGAAACCCTAGTAGGCAGACGCGCTCAGTGCATATGTTGATATTTACTTGTTGTTTGTTATTTTCGTTAGATAGCAATGAATGCCGTGAGTTGTGTGCTGTGTAAACCCTCTTCACCACGGCAGTTGTTTAGGTTATGTTGCCCCAGGGTTTAGGGTTTATGGTTTAGGGTTTGTGATGTGTTGTGTGGGGCGTATATACAAGACGCGTGGCTCGTCAGATAACGGATGAGTTGCTGCTGCGGAAGATCCCCAAGTTGGCGCGGTTGCTGCCTCAAGCAGCAGGAGATTCAGTGATAGCTAGGGCAGCAACACTGCAAGCAGAACGAGCTCTTAAGGATGCACGAGAGAGACTTGCTGGGCTACCTACGCAGCTGTGGGGGGCCCCTCAGCAATCTGTGCAGCCTCCATTATATATGCTGCAGAAGCTGGTGTCTTCATTTCGTCGGTGTTTCAGCCGAGCTGCCTATACACCCCAAGGTGAAGAAGGCTATTTTCTACTGGCTATAGATGGTGTCCTCGTAGATGCTTCTCGCATCACGCCCAATTCTATTTCTTCTGTTGTTGTTCATTATCCTCCTCCAGAGGTACCTTTGGGGCCCTTTATTCAGCATGAATACTACGGCACTGCCCTTAGTAAGGCCTTCACCTTCGTCTTGAGAAGTTCTTCGAGGCCTCAACCTGATGTCTCCCTTGCCTATACATTCCCTCCTCCTTTCCCGTCTCCATGCTCACGCAAAACAGACTTCAGCAGCAGCAACCAACAGCAGGAGTATCAGCAGCAGCAGCAGCAGCCAACGTGCCCCAGAGGGGCCCAGTGTGATGCTGCTGGTGGCCGGCCTTCCCTCCCTAAATATCATAACCCTTTCGAAGATTGTACGGGGCCTCCAGGACACGCAGCAGCAGCAGGAAGAAGTGCGGCTGCTGCACCAGCAGCACCAGTAGCAGCAGCAACGAGAGAGGGTTCCGAGGGTGCCGCCACCAGTGCCTCAGCAGCAGGAGCAGCAGCAGCAGGAACAGCACACAGCAGCAGAGGGGACTTCGCATCTGAGCGAGTAGAATCATACCCAGCAGCAGATATCAATTTGAGGGAGACTCTAGATACTGCAGTCAACAGCGACGCAGAGGCAGAAACGTCTCCTGATGTTGCAAGGCTGCAGGCTCTTCTAGAAGAAGAGTATAAAGATGAGGCAGCAGCAGCAGCAGCTGTTGCTGCTGCAGGAGGCAGCGCTGCAGCAGGCTCAGCAAAGGCTTCAGCAGGCCTCACCATGCGCAAGCTGCAGCAGCAGCAGCAGCAGCATCTGCAGCAGCAGCAGCAGGATGAGGAGCAAGCTTTCGCTCCTCCTGATTGCGGCTATGAGGAGAATGACCAGGGAAAGAAAGAGGAAAGTAACGCTATGGGGTCTTCTTCTTCTACGCATAGACGTTTCGTGCAGCAGCACGAGCGGGATCTGAGGGGTTTGCTGCAGCAGCAGCAGCTGCAGCAGGAGCGTGAGCCTCCGGCTCCTATAGACGCTGAGGAAATCTGGGGTGAAGAGGTAGAGAGCGATCACGCTGCATCAAGCAGTCAAAAGAACGAGAAAGGGGAGACAGGAACAGATGTACAAGAAGCTGTATTGGTAGTTTACGTAGGAAGTCGTGCTTCAGGGTCTCCTTTATCCGATGGTGATGCCTCTATGGATGTTGTAGAGAGGAGACAGAAGCTGCTGCAGGCAGCAGCAACAAAGCTGCTAGCTCGCCTTACGCATAGATCTGTCGCTCTTGACGGTAGACAGGGAGATATTGGTGTTAGGGCCTTTCTAGTGTCTCTACGCCGAGAACAGAGACTGCAGCAGCTACCTACCTGGGCTCTTTCCTATTCAGAAAGACGCTTGCAGTCTCTAGGTGTGCGTCTTCATGTAGGGTTTGGAGATGCTCCTCTTCTCCTCCTGCCTCTTTCTCCGTTCTTCACGTGAGCTAAGGAATCAGCTGTTCTTTTCTCTTTATTTCTTATTATCGCTTCTTTGTTTAAGCCTTCCTCTGCTTCTCGCTCTCTCTCGCTGTCTCTTTATTCCTCTCGCTGTCCCTTTCTTTGTCTCGGTGTCTTCTCTTGTTTCTCTCTTCTTCTGTCCGTCTCCCACTGCAACTGCTGCTGCTGCTACTAATACTGTTACTGATGCTGCTACTACGATAACAGCAACAACAACAACTACTACTACTAATACTACTATTGCTGCTGCTACTACTACTACTACTGTGGCTGCTGCTGTGCTGCTACTTTTACTACTACTACTGCTGCTGCTGCTCCGGTGTACTCAGGCGTTCGGTTCTGCTGATTCGCGTGCATACAACCGCATGCAGAAGGGGTCAGTATGCTGTTCCCTCTGTTGAGGCATTATCTCTTGCTTTCTTATCAGTAGCCTTTCCTGGTGCAGAGGCAGCAGCAGTATTTAGCTGCAGGAAGCAGCTAGAGCGCCCTTTGCAACACCATACCGAGCAGCAGCAGCAGCAGAAGCTGCAGCAGCAGCAAGAGCAGAGCGGAGACAACTCGCAGCAGCAACAGCACGAGCATTCTTCTTTCACTCACTCCCCACAGGATACCCTCGATGACGGACTGGTGGATGCTGCTGCTACTGCTGCTGCGCAGGAGCAGCAGCAGGTGCTGCAGCAGCGTAATCACCAGCACAAGGCGAACGGGAAGCAGCAGCGGCAACAGCAGCAGCAGCAGCAGAGGGAGCCGCTGATTCCTATGGTGAAGAACTGGGCCTATCATGGAGGCATGTCAGGGAGGAGTTCTTCTGTAGTGCATCTTGTTTCTGAAGGAGATTCATTTGGGGTGTACATACAGCCTGGGGGAGTGAGTGATTCAGTGCATGCGCAGGCGCTGTATCAGGAAGCAGCGGCAGCAGCAGCAGCAGCAGCAGCAGGTGGGGAGGGAGAAGTAGGTGGTGCTGCTGCAGCTGGGGCTTCATGCTTGACACCTCGGGGTGTATACGCAGGTCATGTAGCTAAAGGAAACCAGTGTTTATCTGCTGGGGAGTTAGTGGAGTTTGTAGCTAATACCATGCATGCGAATGTTCTTCCTTCTCAATTTCAGCGTCCTTTAAGGGGTCGTTCTGTTATAGTTAGTATTGATGACCATAAAGAAGTCAGACCGGAGAGCTTCCTCGCTGTGGAGTTAGCTGCTGCAGCAGAAGCACGAAGACAAGGAAAAAATATCCTTCCGTGAGAGAAAGATATTCTTTATTAATAAAAGAATATTCTTTGTGAATAAAAGAATATTCTTTTTTTGCAAAAGAATATTCATTTTATTAAAAGAATATTCCTTCTAATAAAAGAATAAATATTCTTTTATTCATAAAGAATATTCTTTTATTTTTATTCAGAATAAAACGTTTTCTTTATTGGCAAGAGAATACTCGTTTTTTAGTAAAGGGTGTCCTTTTATTATAAAGGATATTCTTTATTAACAACGGATATTCTTTTTATTTATATAATAATATTCTTTATGAGTAAAGAATATTCTTATACTTATAAGGGATGTTACTTCCTTAATAAAGAATATCTCTCTATTAATGAGGGATGTTCTTGTATTAATAAAGAATGGGTGTTCTTTTATTTAAAAACATAAAGCCTTTGTTAATAAAAGAATACTCTTTATGAATAATGGAACTGTAGGAAGAAAACATTCTTTTTTTAATAGAATATTCTTCTCTAGGAAAAGAATATTAATAAAAGAATAATCTTTATTAATGAAGGAAATCCTTGCTAGTGTTCTTAGTAAAGAATACTCTATACTGGATTAATAATAAAGAATTTTCTTTTATCAATAGAGAATATCCTTCATTAATATAAAGTGTCCTCTTAGAAAAGAATGCCCAGAGAGAAAGAAAGAGAGAGAGAGACAGAGAGAGAGAGAGACAGAGAGAGAGAGAGACAGAGAGAGAGACAGAGAGAGAGAGAGAGAGACGGAGAGACAACCACACACAGACAGAGACAGGCAGACAAACAGGGAAAATTGCAAACAGGGAGGGGACAAAAAAAAAGTCAGAGACAGACACCTGATGGGTGAAGCTTCGGTTGGGGTCTCTCTTTTGTTATTATGTATGAACCGCCGCTGTAGAGACACCAGACGCCCTGTTGGCCTGTCGTATCGGGAGACAGAAAACACCTTCTCGTTCTAAGCAAAAATATGCAGCAGCAACTCAGGAGACAGGCGACAACTGCAGCAGCTAATCAGGAGACAGGAGACAGCTGCAGCAGCAACTCAGGAGACAGCTGCAGCAGAAACTCAGGAAGGAGACAGGAGTAAACGCCTGCAGCAAGCTAGGAGGCAGGAGACAGAGTTCCCATTGGCGTTTTGGTGTATAGGGGCCAGCGTTAATGCTGCGATGAGACACCAGATACAACTTCGTGCATTTGAAGTTTTTTCGTGCATATATATATATATATATATATATATATATATGGGTATCCATATGTATATATATCGTCTTGTGCACGGGTTGTAATTGTTGTTGGTTTCTGAGGGGAAAAAGCTATTAAAGGAAATGCTACGCAGTGTATGTACACTGTACGTCTGAATGGTTTTATTTCAGGAATAGAATGAACATGAGGGGCGAGAAGTTGGGTCGTTTTTAGGTTTGCTTACGTTGCTGATTACTTCTAAAAAGGAAACTGCAGAAAGGCAACTCATGAAGGAAAGGAGGAGCTGTCTCCTCACTTAGAGTCTGTCTCCCTAGATAGAATCTGTCTCCTCATTCAGAATCTGTTTCCTTAGACAGAATATGCCAAAAGCTGTTTTCTCAATTAGAACCTGTTTCCTCACTTAGAGCCTGTCTCCTCAGTTTGAACCTATCTCCTCAGACAGAACCTGTCTCTTCAGTTGGAACTTGTCTCCTTAGACAGAATCTGTCTCTTCTGACAAAGTATATATCATTGTCCCCGGCTCCAGGCCTGTTTGGGCCCATCTACTCAGGTATGCTGGAGACTGGAGGGGAGGCTAAATATTCTTTCCTTTTAAAGGATTTACATGTGTACTCTAGCTCAGGATACACCTGAGGGGAAGATGGAGTTATCCCTTTTCACCCGCTACAATACGATATCCCTAAAGTTGCTTTGTGGGGCTCTGTTTCTTTTTTTTTTGTATTTGGCGTTAAGGTTGTCTCCTGAGGGCTCAGTAAATGTTTAGCTGCAACTCTCCACAATATTGGGGCTTGGCCTTTCTGCATGCATGCGGAGCTGCGCTGCAGCAGCAGCAGCAAGATCAGCTGAAACGCATGCGAGGGCCCCGCCTCTTCTCCCCCCCAGCCCCAGCCCGCTGAGCTGCTGTGTGAGGATAGCTTGCTACCGGGGAGTTCTTTCCGTGCAGTTATTAAAAGCGTTTTAATAGAGCACGACGAAGGGCATTTGATAAGACCTAAAACAACTTGTGCTGCACTTGGCTGCGCCACATGCGTTAGAGGAGCAGGCCCCAGCTGCAAGCTTCACCCACTACAACGGAGAAGGCAGGTGGCTAACGCTAATGAGCTGTGGAGCCACTTTGATGTCTGGGTGTTCTATTCGTCTTTTTCTCCTCTCGTATGACGCATGAGGATTTGGATATACTTTTCGCTGGGGAGGGAACGCCGCATCGCGTTCGAACGAGTTCATTCATTATCTTTATCTTATATTCACTCAAAATTGTTTTTATGCCTGTTACACTGAGAGTAATAATAATTCATGCAGACAGACGGGCTCAGCATTTTCTAACAGCGCATATATGGCGTGCGCCGGCGCGCGGAAGCAGCCGAGAGTTCCTTGGGGGCTCTGGAGGTGTCCTTTCTTATTTAAAAAAAACATGAAGAGGGGGCGACTGCAGTTATGATTGGGGGTTCCTCGTTATTATTAGCAGGGGATTCATAACGCATGGCAATGGAGGCTGCGCCTTAGCAACCTTCTCCGGAGCGCATCCGGGACTGGGGAGTTTTTCTGATGCCGGTGTATTGACAGGTAGGTGGCGTAATTGACTACGGCGAGTAAACAAGAGAAAAACAAACGAAAGAGAAATCCTTCAAGCAGCATCGATCCTTCCTAAGCAGTAGCAGCCCCATGGTGGTGGGCTTGCTGACTGTATATCAATGGCTCATTACAGGGCTCTCCCCTGGAGAGAGGTAATATATGCCCCTGGCTGAACGGCTGAAAGGGAAGTTAAAGGTAAAGGGTTTGAGGGTGATTTGATGCTGGCGGGATGCATGCGCTTCAAACAAGGAGAAAGGCCACTTCCACAGCCTTGGCTGCGAAAGAAGAAGACGCTTTTTTTAAACAAACGTTTTCTTCTTCCTTTTGTCTTCTCTCATTGGGCCTACAGGCATTAGGGGTGTAAATATTTGACCCACCCAGCCAAAGGTAAAAAGGAAAAGAAAGCGGCGTCTCCTGACTCCAGCAGTCAAAAAGAGAATAGGGGAAGTACCGAGAGGCGCATCTGCTTCTTTTGCAGCAAAATAAAGCCAAATGCTTCTAAGATGCAGGCTCCTGAGAAGTGCTACGAAATTTAGGGTGTATGGCTTTTAGAAGTAGTGCCTCAAGGGGAACTCAAAGATGTACGGAAGTGCAGCGACGTCGCCCCCACGCAAACAGTGGTGCAGACTCGGGGTAGAAATTTGTGAAAGCGGCGCCTCCAAATCTATATGGAGTCAACTCTTTACTGCTTCATGCTTCTGTTGATGCTCAGCAGTTGCTAACTTGACAACTCAACTCAGGCCTTGCAATTATATGTATATACATATATACACATATGTATAAATAAATATATATATATATGTAAATATTCGCATATTTCTCCTTAAGTTGCGCCGAAGGGGTGCAGTCTCTGAGAGTCGGTTCTATCGACGGCAGACGAGAAGAAGTATCAACAAAGCGATGCGGATAAGATCCCCGCTGTACATTTCTACTTTCCTGAAAAGGGGGCGAGAGACGACCGAGTAAGCGTCTAACAATGGATGAAGCATTCCACTCAAAGTACGCAAGAAGAGAACCACCCAAAAGAAGATGAACTCCACAACTGTCTCCAGAACTGCACAGTAGCAAAAGGGCCTGGGGCTGAAAACAACTGCATGCAACTTGCTGCAGACGCATGCGCCTCGTTGCACCTTGTTGCAGCTACATGCATCTTGTTGCAGCTGGCTGTAGCTTGCTGCACCCCGCTGCAGCCGTGTGCAGCCTGCTGCATCTGCATGCAGCTTGCTGCAGCTGCGTGCAGCTTGCTGCAGCAGCATGCTACAACATAGAACTTAAGCCCCGTCTGGTGCATGCACGACCACTGAAGCCAATCGCCGTACATCCCTTTGGCGCTTAAGTGAGAAGCTGTATGCAAATAGAAAAGCAGCAGGAAGAAATAAATGTAAGACAAGACAGTAATGTAAGACAGCTGCACTTAGAGAGCAAACAGCTGCTCGATCCCGCAGCAGCCAAGGTGAGTGCTGTTAAACAGTGTTTAGGGTGGAGGGATATCTGCTTCTAATTGAATTTCATTTAGGGTCTTCCTCTGTTGCACAGTGCTGCTCTTCTTCTGCAAGCCTACGATGGCCCTCTACTCTTCTAAAGACAGCAATAAACAATGAGCAGATACACCCAGACAACTGCATTTCTTTCTGCTGTTTTAACAAAGAAGGATTTGACATATTGATCATTTGCTGGTGCGGTTTAGGGTTTAGGGTTTAGGGTTTAGGGTCGAGTGCTAGGGTTTGAGGCCTGTGGTGAGCAGGCGCTTGCAGTGTATGTTTAGGCTATTAAGGGTTTAGGGTTTAAATAACTGTATACAACTTGATATTTCTGCTGTTGCTGTTGCTGCTGCTGCTGTTGCTGCTCCTGTTGCTGCTGCCGCTGGAGGGGCTGTTGCTGCTGCTGCTGCTGCTGCTGCTTCCTGAGTAGTGTCGCAGCATAGAAGTATCAATGTTTAAAGGAAAAGAAATACAAATAACATTAAAATTCACGTAATGAGGCAATTAAACTTGTTCAGGTGTACGAACAGCACAGACGCAGACGCGACCAGCAGCCGGCCGCTCGCCGGGTCTTCCTAAACCCTAAACCATAAACCCTAAACCCTAAACCCTCGACGCTATAAGCCTAGGCCAGAATCATAAGGAGGAGACACTAAACAGTAAATCCTATACCCTTAACACCCAGACAGCTATTTCTCTCTACCCTTTCAGCAACTTGGTGTACTCAAGACTTTCATTTTCATTAGGGTTTAGGGTTTAGGGTTTAGGGTTGATGATGAACCCCCCCCTGTTTTCCTCTCCCAGTCTGGTCCTATCCCTTTACTCCCGCTACGCCCCCGTGCACCCGTTGCTGCTGCAGCAGGAAGCAGCGGAGGCCGCAGCAAACAGAGCAGCAGCAGCAGCAGCAGAAGGGGAAGAGGGCCCCACAGCGGTTTCCTTTTCAGGTGTATCTACAGCCAAAGTTAGCCGCTCTGCCTGCGACGTCTTCGCCCCTCAGAGCCTCGTGGAGCAGCTGACTTGTCCTATATGCCTTGACGTGAGGGTTTAGGGTTTAGGGTTTAGGGGTGGTTTGTGCGCTTGTTGGTCGATCTTCATAAAGGCTTTGCGGCTATCTCCTTTCTGCAGCAAGACTGTCTCTCTTCTTTTATTGTCTGTTTCTGTCTGGTGTGCATATAGCAGATATCTCTCTGCTGTCTCCTCCTTTTTCTTTGTCTCTTTAATTGTTTGTTCTGGGGTTGGGTTGCGGCTGCTTTGCTGCATCTCTTTCTTACGCTTTCTCTCGTATTTCATCTGTCTCCTTTTTATTTCTCTCCTCCTACTTGCTTCTTCTCCTATTTAACTGTCTCCTTTATTTAACTGTCTTCTTTTATTTAACTGTCTTCTTAATATGACTGTCTCCTCGATTTAACTGTCTCCTTTATTTAACTGTCTCCGTCTGTTTATCTGTCTTCTTTTATTTATCTGTCTCCTTTATTTAACTGTCTCTTCAATTTAACTGTCTCCTTTAACTGTCTCCTTTATTTATCTGTCTCTTCAATTTAACTGTCTCCTTTAACTGTCTCCTTTATTTAACTGTCTCCTTCTATTTATGTGTCTCCTTTTCAGGTTGCAGATAGACCTGCACTGACACCCTGCGGACACTTTGCTTGCTGCATTTGTTTGCTGCTGTCTGTACACCTGAGATCTCGATGCCCTCTGTGCAATAAATATATTCAGTCTACAAGGCTGCTGCAGCCGCTTCTATCGCATGCGGTGCTGCAGCAGCTGCAGCACCTGCAGCAGCAGCAGCAGCAGGAGCAGCAGCACGAAGACCAACACCAACACCAACAAGGCAACCTGCAGCTGCAGCAGCAGCAACAGCAACAGCAACAGCAGCAGCAGCAGCAATACGCAGCGGAAGATGAGGTTCTCCTGCAGCAGCAAGAGCAGCAGGACCGTGAAGACGAAGGGCAGCCGCTGCTGCTGCAGCAGCAGGAGTATCAGGATTTGCTGCAGCAGCAGCAGCAGCTATTCGAGGGCGACAACGGGGGATTGCTGCAGCTACAGCACATCAACCAGCAGCAGCAGCAGCAACCACAGCAGCAGGGAGAGGAGGAAGAGATGTCGCTAGCAGAAGAATTAAATAGCCTTCGCTCGTTTTGCTTCTCAGAAGCACAAACCGCAAAAGGGGCAGCTTTGCTGCAGCGACTTATTGATCAACAGCAGCAGCAGCAGCAGCAGCAGCAAAGCAGCAGCCAGATTGAGCGTTTCTATGAACGTTTTTATAAAGTAGATGTTCAGCATCTGGGCCCCATGGAGCAGCCAAAGTCGGCAGCAGCAGCAGCAGGCAATCCAGCAGCAGCAGCAACATCTCGAGCAGGAGCAGCAGCAGCGGGAGCAGTGGAGGCAGCAGCAGCAGCAGGAGCAGCAGGAGCAGCAGGAGCAGCAGAAGGAGGATGGTTCTGGTCCTTTTGGGGCTGCAGGCCTTTCGGTGTAGAGCTGCTGCAGCGTGCAGCGATGTACAGCCGCCTCCTCATTAGCTGCAGCGCATGCAGCAAGGTGCTGCCAGCCTCCAGGTGTGCTGCTGCTGTTGCTGTTGCTGCTGCTGTTGTTGCTGGCTGTGCTGCTGCTATTGCTGGTTGTGGTGCGGACGCTGCTGTTGCGTGTGCTGCTGGTGCTGCTGTTGCTGCTTGTGTTCCTGCTAGTGCTGCTGGTGTTGTTGCTTTTGCTGCTGCTGCTGCTGCTGAATCTGCTGCTGTTGTTGTTGTTGCTGCTGCTGTGCTGCAGGCTGGTGCAGCATCAGCAGCAGCAGTGCGAGTACACCCCATGCCGGTTTGCATGCATGGGCTGCTCATATTTGCTGCGGAGAAGAGACAGGGGGTTGGTGAGGGAGCTTGTGCAGCTGCACAGTAAAGCAGCAGCAGCAAACAGACAGCTTATGCTGCTTAGAGAGGAAAATCAGAAACGACCTGCTGCTGCTGCTGCTGCTGCAGCAGCAGCCGCTGCTGCTGCTGCTGCTCCCGGTGCAGACTCCCCCGCAGCTCCGAATTCTTCTGCGGAAGCAACGGGCAGTGACAGCAGCAGCAGCAGCAGCAGCAGCAAGGAGGGGGTGTGTGAGCCTGCAGCAGAGACAGCGGCGGATGCTGCTGTTGCTGCTGCTGCTGCTGACGCTGCTGCTGCAGCAGCAGAGAGTGAAATGGAGTTGATTAGGGAGCTGCAGAGGTTGCGAAGGGAGAGCAATTTGCTGCTGAGAGAAATACAAGAGGCGAAGCAGCAGCAGCGAAGAAAGCTGCAGCAGCACGAAGCCGCATGCAAACGGAGACTGGTTAAGTGCGGCTGCTGCTTAAAATATATTACTCTAGAACATGCGCAGACTTTGCAAGACTGGTCCAGTGCGCAGCAGCAGCAGCAGCAGCAGAAACAGCAGCAGCAGCAGCAGAGACGGCAGCAGCAGCACGCCACCACCGCCGTCGAGGGAGGTGCTGCTGCAGCAGCAAACGGCAGCGAGAGCAGCGCGTCTTCTGCTGCAGCAGCAGAAGCTCCAGCAGGAACAGCAGGAGGCATACGAAGTAGCGGAACAGCAGCAGCAGCAGCAGAGACTGCAGCAGCAGCACCGGCAGCACCAGAAGCCGCCGCTGCCGCAAGAACAGCACCCGAAACAACAGCAACAACAGCAACAGCAGCAGCAGCAGCAGCAGCAGATCGTGCTGCACGCCGCCAGAGATACTTTTCATTATTAGAGTCATCTGGGGCTTCGTGTTTATTTGGTGGGGTTGGTGAAGTTAGCACTGCGCTGTCTCCGGAGTTGCAGCAAACCCTCTTAGACCCTTTCGCTCCTGCTCTGCCCTGCATAGGTACTCTAAACCCTAAACCCTAAACCCTAAACCCTATGGGGATGCCGTGGGGGGTTCGCTTTAGGGTATATTAGGCTCGAGGGGGTCGGGAGTTTAGGGTTTAGGGCCTTGATTAGGGTTTAGGGTTTAGGGTTTTGGGTCTAGGGTTGTTCTGCTTTCCGTCTGAGAGCCTTGAGCTACGGAAGCTGCTCTAAGGTCGAGGGTTTAGGGTTTAGGGTTTAGGGTTTAGGGTTTAGGGTTTGTTGGTGCAGCGCAAACGGAGCGAGAGTTGGAGCAGCGAGTTGAGGATGAAGGGTTTGATGTGGGGGCGTTTCACTGCGAAGGTAGAAAACCCTAAACCCCTAAACCCTCAGCCGCTATCGTTCAAAACCCTAAACCCTAAAATCCTAGAACACTAAACCCTAAGTTGGATAATAGTCATTAGACAGATTATTTATTATATGTCCTATAGGAAATATATATATATATATATAACGCAGAAACGAAACACCGGGCACAAGAGAAAGAAAGTAAGGGGGAGAGTTTAGGGTTTAGGGTTTAGGGTTTAGGGTTTGCTGCAGGTCGGGTGCCGATTTGTTCAAAGAAATGCCCCGTGTTGGAGCCTCAAAGGCTTCGCACCGAGCTGCACGAGGCTCTGCTGCTGCTAGGTAAACCCTAATAAACCCTAATAAACCCTAAACCCTATATATACCTTATTATCAAACCCTACACCCTCTCTGCTGGGAGGCCGTAGACAGCAGCGTGCCTTCTCTTCTGCTTTGCATTTCCCTTTCCTTCGCCAAGGTTTTAGGGTTTAGGGTTTAGGGTTTAGGGTTTAGGGTTTGTTGCAGGGGCTACTTGGTCGCTGGGCCTGCCTTTGTCTTTCTTGCTGGGGGTGGGAGTGGCGAGGGCTTCGCAGTCTCTCTTAGAAAAATTTGAATTTCTTTTTCCCTCCATTGCCTCTTTTATTGGCGGTGAGCAAACCTCCCTATACACCCCAAACCTCCCTATACACCCCAAACCTCCCTATACACCCCAAACCTCCCTATACACCCCAGAGTTGCCTGGACACCCCAGAGCTGCCTGTACACCCCAGAGCTGCCTATACACCCCAGAGCTGCCTTTACACCCCCGAGCTGCCTTTACACCCCAGAACAGCGGGCCGTCTCGCTTCTGTTTGGACAGTCTTTCGCGTGAACACCACAGCGCAGCTGCCTATACACCCCAGCCACGCAGCCAGACGCACGCATGCAGCACTCAGCAAAACAATAGAAGCGGCTGCAGCAGCAGCAGCAAAACTGCCTAGACACCGCAGCGTTAGGCCTGAATAGCCGGAGTGTTTTGGTGGGGGCTGCAAATTTTAAGAGTTGCAGGAGGGGAAATGTTTAGAGGGATATAATAATGGTATTATTATTATTATTATTGCTGTTGTTGTTGTCGCTTATTATTATTATTATTGTTATGATATATCTCGTTATTATTACTATTGCTAATAGTAATATTTAGTGTTATTACTTCGTAGGTATTTCTGTTAACAGTAATAATAATAATATTATTGTGGTATTTCATTATTATTAATAATATTGTCTTTACTGTCCTAGTGTTTTATTATTATTGTTATTATTAATATTATTATCACTAATTATTATTAGTATTATTAATTATTATTGTTATTAATATTATTATGATTATTAATATTAGTACTATTGTAGTATTTTAAGGTAAATTATTTTCTCGCATTATATATACTCAATTTTAACGCTGCATGCGCATGTGGTGTAGCTGCGTATACACCCGAGATTAAATTCTCTTTCTGGGTTTTGTTTATCTCTTTTTGTTGCCTCAGGTATTTGCAGCGGCTTTTTTAGAATTCCTATTGAGGCCTTCAGCGTCATGAGAGGCTAAGGGATGGTTTAGGGTTTAACTAAACCCTAGGGTTTAGGGTTTAACTAAACCCTGGGGTTTACGCCCGAGCCTCCAGCCTAAACCCTAAACCCTAAACCCTAGTGCTTAGACAAACCAGAAAGCCTAGGGTTTAGGCTAGGGTTTGTTAAAATAAACCCTAGGGTTTGTGCTATCCCTAGGGTTTAGCCTAAACCCTAGCTAGACCCTAGGGTTTACGTTAGGGTTTGCGTGAAGACCCCTAGGGCTTTCTGTCTGTCTGTGCTTTGTCTCTTATGCATAACAGTATTGTCTCTTTTATGCTTCCCTCTGTCTTCTTTTTTTTTCTATAAATGAGGAGGCAGCAAACTGCAAACATTCTGCTGCTGCTGCTGCAGCGGCAGCAGCAGCAGCTTTTAAATTAAACAGCAGTAGCTAGCTATCAGTCCTCCTTGTCTTGGTGGAGCAGCAGCAGCAGCAGCAGCCCTTGTCTCTGTCTCTTCTCTCCCCATCCAAACCCTAAACCCTAAACCCTTATTTGTCTCTCTTTGCAAGGCCTTCTCCCCCTTAATACCCTTGTAGGTGGTTTGCATGCTACAGCTAAAGAAGCAGCAGCAGCTGCTGCTGCTACTGCTGCTGGCTGGTGCAAGTGCAGCAGCAGCAGCGGCTTAGTAGCAGCAGCCTGCGGCTGCACTTGCTGCTGCTGCATTTGCTGCTGCTGCTGCACCTTCCTTTTTCCCTGCAGATTTAGCAGCAGCCCGTAGCAACAGCAGCAGCAGCGTTAGCAGCAGCAGTGCAAGTCGACGTAGCAGAGGGTTTAGGGTTTAGGGTTTAGGGTTTAGGGTTTCTGAATTTAAGCATAGCCTGAATGGAAGTAAGTTTGCATGCGCTTCGAGATTCTTCTTTGCCTAGTCTTTCTTCAGCCGCTTTAATTTTAAAATAATCTGAGAGACAAAAATATGCAACGCCTCGCTGCTGCAGCAAAACATCCAGCTGACGAACGACCTCCCCATATTGCTGCTGCTGCTGCTGCTGCTGCTGCTGCTGAGGGTGTTGCTGCTGCTGCTGAGGGTGTTGCTGCTGCTGCTGTTGGGGGTGTTGTTGCTGCTGCTGCTGCTCCTCTAGGGGTTTCTGTCGCGGGTGTTTCTGCTGTTGCTGCTGCCTTTCTCTCTGCTGCTGTTGCTGCTGCTGCTCCTGTTCCTGCTGCTGCTGCTGCTGCTGCTGCAGCTGTTGGAAGTCTTGTAGGATCTGCGTTGTTGTCTCTGCTGCATCTGCAAGAACATCGGCAAGGGTCCCCCGGGGGCCCCGTTTAAACCACCCACTGACATACACACCGCCAAGTCTTCCTGCTGCTGGTGCTGCTGCTGCTGCTGCTGTTGCGTTTGCTTCTCCTCCCGCTGCTGCTGCTGCCGTTGATTCCGCTGCTGCTGCTGCTGGTGTTTCTGCTGCTGTTGGCTTTGTTTCTGCTGCTGTTGCTTCTCCTGCTGCTTGCTGAGGGGGCAGCACGCGGCCCTTGGTGTGCAGCAGCAGCCCCCGGGCATCGACTGGCAGTGCGGCAGTTGATAGTCCCTTTGCTGCTGCTGCTGCTGCTGCTGCTGCTGCTGCTGAGCCTGGTACATTAGACAGCTGCTCCCGTGCATTGACTCTAAACCCTACACTCCACACCAACAAAGACGCCTGCTGCTCGACTAGAGGCTGCTGCTGCTGCTGCTGCTCTTGCTGGTGCTGCTGCTGTTGCTGCTGCTGTTGCTGCTGCTGCTGCTGCTGCGTTTTGGGGACAGCCACCTGGGCATGCGGAGGCCCCTTTAATTCGTTTTGCTGCAGCAGAACAGCGCCGATGCTGTTCGGGCCTGAAGAAGCAACAGCAGCAGCAGCAACAGCAGCAGCAGCATCAGCGGCAACATCAGCAGCAGCAGCAGCATCAGCAGCAGTAGCAAGAGACGACTATAAATTTAATGAATTAGCCTCATTTAAAATGCTAAGGAGCAGGACGGTATAATATTTATTTATTTAATATCTTCGTTTATAAAATATAAATATATTTATTATTTTATTATACCCAAAACCTAAACGAAATATATATACAAATAATTGTTTCTTATTGTATTCCTTTTAACTTCGCTTTGTTTATTTAAACATAATTAAATTATTTAAATATGTTTAAATAAACAGATTGACGTTAATACATCAAAAAGAATTAACTCTTTATTCAACTGTCTGCTAAAAAGAAATACAATAATTATTACGCCTTTCTCGAATAGGAATATACATGCATATATTAAATATTATATAATATATATATATATGTATATACATATAGAAAAACATATTTGTTGAACGATACATATATACATATATATATATATATATGAACGTAAATATATATAAATATATAAATATAATAAATAAATAAATATATATATATATATATCTATATATAAATAAATAAATATATATATATATATATATATATATGCACAGCATTTAAATGGTGTTTATTTAACGGTGTTGAAATAATAATTGTATTAGTATAGAATTTAAAGAAATTATTTATTTATCTGATTCTATATATAAATATATGAATTACAATTTATAGATTAATAACATAATATATTTAAATAAATATATTTAAAAGAGAAGCCTTAACATTACATTTTGTTGAAGAAATAATTTTCTTAGGAGACAAACAAAAAGATAATTGAAGCAGCGGCGCATCTTTTTTGTTTTTGTCTTCCCACTGCAGATGCACAACCAAAGAAAGCATTCTTTTTAATTAATTAATTAATTAATTAATTAATTAATTAATTTGTTTGTTTGTTTGTTTGTTTGTTTGTTTCGTTTGGTTTATCGTTTTATACAAAGACAATCACAATATAATAAGACAAATACAAACAAACGAACATACGCATAAGTAAATAAATAATAAATAAACACATAAATAAATAAATAAATAAATAAATAAATAAATAAAATAAACAAACAAAATAAACAAACAAAATAAACAAATAAATAAACAAATAAATAGACACATAAACAAACAAGTAAATAAATGATAAGTAAATAAACAAACAAATAAATAAACAAATAAATAAATAAATAAATAAATAAAATGAATTAAAGAGGAATTTACATTGCGAGCCATCTGCTGGAAGAGAAGAAGAGAGCGCCGCTTCGCTCTGTCAGTCTGAAGCAGCAAAACAAATAAACAAACAAACAAATAAATAAATAAATAAATTAATTAATTAATTAATTAATTATAGGAAGTAAATAAACTTCACATGAAGCAAAAGCATATACACAATGAACTACTTAACAACAGAACCAACACGAGAAAGAGACAGAAAAAGATAATAAATGAACAACAGAGTTGGAAGAAATAAAAAAAAAAGAAAAACAAAAAAAAAATAAATAAAATAAATAAAAGACAGAAAAGAATAAAAGGAGACAGAAAAAAATATCTATCACATCTATCTATCTATATCTATATCAAAATATATATATATATATATATGTACATATATATATATATATATTTATCTATATATATATTATATATTGCCTTACTTTGAGCTCCTCCATAGAGGCCTGATTGAGGCCTTCTTTTAATTCTTTTGGGTTAACAACAGTCAAAAACGAAGACTCCTTCAGCAGCTGCAGCGCATGCAGCAGCGCATGCAATGCTGAGGTGTATACATACACCTCAAAATAAAGAAGAAGAAAGTGCTGTTAAAAGGCAATAACAAAATATACAGCTAACAACAAGTGCAGATAAAGTTCACAACGAAAAAGAAAACAACAGAATTTCAAAATTTATTATTGCAGGCGTTAATACTTTTCGCCTTTTGCATATAGTTTATTTTACTATGCATCTGTATATTCACATATACATATACATATATGTGCATATATATATATATATACGCGTGTGTATATAGAGATGCATACTACATATATATATATATATACGCAAATAAAAGAATATACATAGCAACGATATATATATGTAATATATATATATATATATACATATATATATATATATATCATACGCATACATATGCACTGTGCATATATTGTCTACTTATCTATCTATATAATAAAACTTCAAATGAATTTACTGCTCTGACTTCTTTGCTGGTGAATAACGACTGAAGGAATATATAAACATATACATGTACAAACATATATATTTACATATAAAGATATATATATATAATATATAATATATATATATATATATTTATCTATATATATATATATAACTTGTTTACTGCTCTGAGTTCTTTGTTGGTGAATGACGACTGAAGGGGTCCTCTCCTTCCTACGACAATAATTTTTTTATATTGTTTCTGTGCTATGCATGCGCATGCAGCCCTATCGATGTCAGTAAGAGGTAAAGGAACAGCAGAAGGAAACAAAGACAATTCAGAGCTAACTGAACCGCCACCACCTGCTGCTTCTCCTTCTGCTGCTGGTGCTGCTGGTGCTGCTGCTGCTGCTGGTGCTGCTGCTGTTCCCGCTGGTGGTGCTGCTGCTGCTGGCTTTGTTTTCAGGGGTTGCTGCCCTGCCTTGAGTAGAAGGCGCGCAGCATCAAGAGCGACATTGCCGTTGCTAAGAGGAGACAGCAGCAGCAGCAGCAGCAGCAGCATCAGCAGCAACACAAAAAGTAGATGCAGGGCACAGAAGGAGAAAGAGAGACAGACAAAAGGAAACAGACAAAAGGAGACAGACAAAAAGAGCAGCAACACCGTCATCATCATCACCATCACCAGCAGCAGCAGCAGCAGCAGCATCGGCACCCGCAGCAGTAACAGCAGCACCCGGAAAAAGAAAGAATCTGCAGCAGCATCGGCAGCAGCATCGGCAGCAGCAGCAGCAGCAGCAGCAACATCGGCAGCAGCAGCAACATCGGCAGCAGCAGCAAGAGCAGCAGCAGGAGGAGGAAGTGTTTAGTGTTTATTACCCAACCACAACAGCAGTGTTGCTGCTGTCTCTTCCTAAACGGGCTTCAAATCCCTGCAGCGCCGGATAGCCGTTAAGCCACAGCAGCAAATCGCGAGCTGTACATACACCCCAAAGTGACGCCCCAGGGAGAGGCAGCGCGACGCCGTCTGCATGCATAGCCAGCAGTAAACACAAAACAACAGACATAAAAACAGATAAACAAATCAATTAAGCTGAAACAAACGATGCAGCAGCACACACACACCCGCACGGTCTCGCGAAACCCCAAGCGCATGCAGCACCAATCGTAAGACTACCAACAAGGCCCCATACACACGGGCTTGATTGCATGCATGCATGCATGCATGCATAGGGGTATTATTTGTGTTTTACCTGCTGCCCCAATGGCGAGTAAGACAGCATCAAATAGCGAGCGGAGTTCTACGAGGGCCACGTCAGAGCCCTGCATGCAAAAGAGAAACAAAGAAGAAAAACAAAAGAAAAGAAATAAAAAGAAAAACAACAAAGGCCCAAATATTACAGAAAAATACACAAGAGAGGCAGACAGACAGACAAAGAATGCAGCAAAGTAAGAAAAGAAATATAAGGGGTGAAGAAATACACAAACAAACACAACAACAACACTCTAAAGAAAAAGCAAAAATACAAACAAATGCATGTACTTAAAATGCATGCACTTAAAATGCATGCAAATGCATGCAGACAAACCAGCTTGACGTTGCCCCTAAAGGAGACGCCTGGGGACAGAGCCACCTGCGCAGCGTACAGACAGCGCACTGGATATAAGATGAATATAACGCAGTAATACTTTTGCTGCTGCAGTTATTACCAATCAAACATTTCAATAAAATCGTCAGCTGTACAGACACCCCAAGTCAGTCGCGCACCGCCTCCAGCTCTCTCCCCACAACTTTTATTTCGGGTTTATCTGCAGCCACGCCGTAGCGAACCAAACCCAAAGGAGTGGGTAGAGCATCAATAACAACAATTTCAAGCTGCAGCCGGCTCTGGCACAGCTGCTGCTGCTGCTGCTGTTGCTTCTGGTGCTGCTGCTGCTGGTGCTGCTGCTGCTGCTGCATCTGCTTCTGATTGTAGCTCTCCACCAGGCGCAGCAGCATCTTTGCGCAGTACAGACCGCTAGGGCCCGCACCCACTATACATACTGAAAAAAAACCCGGCCGCTTCGCCTGCTGCTGGTGTAGGTGCCACTGCTGGTGCTGCTGCTGCTGCTCTTGCAGCTGTTGGTGCTCTTCCAGCGGTTTATGCTGCTGCTGCAGCCAGGCTTCAGGCTGCTGTGGCAGGTATGCTGTGTGCAGCTGCCTGCTTCCGATCCCTCCAGATGTTTTCGTGCCCCACACCGCCCTGAAGCGATGCGCGAGAATCCATCTCTTTTGACTGTCTTGAAGGTTTCCTGCTGCTGCTGCTGCTGCAGCTGCTGCAGCTGATGCTTTTGCTGGAGCATTTTGAGTTGCAGCAGCTCCTGCTGTTGTTGCTGCTGCTACTAGTCGCGCTGGATGGAGAAGCTGCGGGAGCAGCCCAGCTACAGGGAAGCCCGGGGCCCCTAAGGCTGAGGGCAGCCGCCCGTGCGCCTGGAGAGCGGTTCGCCTCAACTCCCGCGTTAGCGGGCTATATACACCTGACATGAGGAATCGAGAGACATGATCTGAGCTGCGAAGAAAGGAGCGGCAAGCGGCTACTGTTTTTGCCCGCAGCTAGCAGTTGCAACCAGGAGCCGAATGCTGCTGCAGCTGTTGCAGCTGCTGCCTGCTATCGATATCTCCTGTATAATGCATCTGAAATGAAAGAAATGTACATCCCAACAACAAAGAGACTAAGAAGACAACTCGAATAAACAGCTGCTCACTTCGGGGCTGAAGAACCCGAGACGTTGTTGTTAACTAACTGGTGGCACGGTGGCGAAGTTGAATCGGACGGACACCCATCATTGCAGTGTGTGCAAATTCATCTTTTTCTTGAATATATCGGCATTATTCTTGATTATACATCTGGAAATTATTTAAAATGAATCAGAAGATCTGCAACGCATGCATTTACCGCTGAATGCGGCGAGCATCGAACCTTCTGCAGCCCCGAAACAGGCGCAATCCGTCGGCAGCGGAAAGCAGCAAAATAACAAACGCTGAAGAAAAATAAATCAATTTAATTCAAAAAGCACATGATATTCAGCCTTTGAGATGCAGGATCATTGCACTTAAATGAAGGTGTCTGCTCTTTCCGCTTCCTCGCACCACTCTGTGCAATTGTCTTTACCTTGAAACGCCCTTTCTGAAGTCTGACCGAAGAAAGAACCTAAAATTGAGCCTCTACAGGGTGTTACGCCGAATTATATTAGTTTCGCACTACAAGTTGTTTCAGAAGAGCTCGCTCCAGTTACTCTACCTCCCCCGCCGTCCGACAGTAGTACTCTCCTAAGAATCTGAGAAAAAGCTACTCTGTGGATGTACACTTGGAGAAGGAACCACTCAGAAAAACGAACTAAATTGAACGGTATGCTCCAAAGAGATGTCTTTTACTGCGATTCTGTTGTTTTTCTGCATAGCTCTCTCACTATTATCTCTGATGTCTTCAACTGCGATTCGGTTGTTTCTCTGCGTAACTTCCTCACAATTATCTCTGACGGCATTCTAGGGACCTAAAACTGAATGGGACACCTCTTTCTTTCGTACGACTTGCATGGCTATAAAGATCTACCTTCATGCGCCTTCTGATCTAAAATAAAGCAAACAAACTACAGCCCCAATAGAGAGAACGTCCAACAAAGATAATATTCAACAAAGAGAATATTCAGCGAGAATATCCAACAAAGAGAATATTCAACAATGGGGAATATTCAACAATGGAGAACATTCACCAATGAAGAATATTCAATCATGCGGAATATGCAACATTTCAGAATATTCAACAATGAAGAATACACAAGAATGAGGAGTTCCCAACAATGACGAATATTCAGGAATGTTGAATATTCAACAGTGAAGAATATTTACGAAGAATATTCAACTACGGAGGATTACCAACAATTCAGCATATCCAACAATGAAGAATATTCAATAGAGAAGAATATTCAACAGTGAGGAACATTCACTTCAGAATGTTCAACCATGTAGAATATTCAGCAATTCAAAATATTCAACAATGAAGAATACGCAAGAATGCGGAATATTCGATAATGAAGAGTATTCACGAACGCGGAATATTCAACAACGAAGAACATTCAAGGATGAGGAATATTCGGTAGTGAGGAACATTCAACAATGACGAATATTCAAGAACGAAGAATATTCAAGAACGGAGGATAATATTTAGAATATCCAATAGGTCAGAATACTCCCCAACTTAGAATATTCAACAATCAGCAGTTGAGAACATTCAACAATGTTGCATATTCAACAATGCAGAAGACTCAACAGTGCAGAACATTCACCGATTTCGAATATTCAGCAATGCAAGTATTCAACATTGGAATATCTCCCCATTGGTGCCAGCAAGTGGAGCGGCCCCAGAAGTGCAGAAGTTTCGCGAATTCCTTGCAATTAAAACCTTCAGTAGAAAACTCGCGTTTGCTCTTCATGACAGACAATTGCAGCTTTTTCTGTCTGCGTGGCTTCCTGTCGACTCTGGATTGAGAAAAAAATTAACAAATGGGACTCTCCGTGACAAGAGCTGCATTAGAAGTACGAGGAAACAAACAAAGTGCCTACACATTTCGTTTCACTGCAAGCAATTCCCAGCTTCATGAACACGTAAGAGAGAATACCGTTCAATATTTGATGCTCTCCCTCTTAATTCGTGCAACTTCCCTGGTCTCTCTCTCTCTCTCTTGAGAATGAGGAAAGCTACATAAAATGTTCCTTCTTCATATTCACGCTTCCCCCCTTCTGTCAATGGCGGGCTTTGCGCTATACATTCACTGGGATTCACGAACACCGCTGCACTTCTGCTCCTCGACTGAACAAGGCAACGAACCTTGGTTTCCTTTTAAAACACCCTCGACAGACGCGCTCGATCGACAGCCCGTCTTTATCGCCTCTGCATTAAATCTCCGAAAGAACTCCCTCCCCACTTACCCTGTCTCGGGAAGCTTTCCCCCACAACACCTCCCCCCTCCTCTGCTGGCTTCGCACGCTCATCAGCCCGTTGCTCAGTTCCCGTTTGTCTCGGAGGCACACCGACAGCAGCAGGCGCTTTACTTCCTCCCGTGGGGAAAGCAAAGGCAACAGGGTGGGCCTTTCGTTCAGGTGGTGCTGGCTTTCGTTCAGGTGGTGTTGGCTTTCCTTCAGCAGGTGCTACCTTTCGTTCAGGTGGTGTTGACTTTCCTTCAACAAGTGATACCTTTCGCTCACCAGATGATGCCTTTCGCTCAGGAGGTGCTGGCCTTCCTTCAGCAGGGGCTGCCCTTCCTTCACCTGCTGGTGCTGCCTTCCCTGCAACAGTTGCTGCCTTTCCTTCAGCAGCTGGTGCTTTTCCTCCAGCCGGTGCTGCCTGTCCTTCAGTACCTGCTGCCTTTCCTTCAGTACCTGCTGCCTTTCCTTCAGTACCTTCTGCCTTCCCTTCTGCCTTTTCGCCCTTTGGTGCTGTTTGTTTATCCTTCACGTTCTCCTGGCCACTGTCCACGGGCGAGTCTGCCATTCCTTGTCCCCAGTTCGTCTTCTCAACAGGAGCAGCCAAATCAACATCATCTGTTTGGGTGCCTCGATCTACTTGCACCGGAGCGGTCTGGGCTTCGTCTTGCTCGTTTCCTGCTTTGTTCTCTGCCGCTACGGCTGCCTCCATTCTCGCTGCTAAGTCTTTAACATGTCGCGCATCCAAAGTGCCTTCTGCAGCTCTGCGAGACCTGCGTCTCTCTCTAGTTGTTTGCCGATCTGCTCTGCGAGTACGTACACTGCTCTGGGGTGTTACTGGATCATCTCCTTCATTGTGGGGTTCAACATCTGCATGAGGCCCATTGAGTCTCCTCGACGTTCTTGTCTTATCTCGTTTGCTTCTTTTCTTCGTACCATAGGAGCCGTGGCGTCTGCTGTCTGCTTCCTCTTGTACATCGCCTTCGGCCATATATCCAAAACTGGTTACAGTGTTCGTGCGGGAGCTCTCATCGTCTAAAGCAAGCGAGCCGCTTCTCTTCAAACGTAAAGGTTTCTTACCTTGTGATGCCTGCACCCCCTTTAAGCGTTTTATTAATAACCCAAACAGATATATCAAGCCTATCACCACCAAGCCGAAGGGCACTTGCTGAATAGCATCCAAGAAGAAGTAACGTGAAGCCGCCTGTGAATGGGCCAAGACTGTACCAATAAAGCCAACATTAGGGGCAAATGCAGCACCACTTTCTACTGTTGCTTGTTTCACGACTGAACCCGTTAAAAGCAGCACTATTAACAACGGAACCCCTATGAGAAGAGTCCAGGCGTCGAAGACCCACTTAGGTATGGGGTTCTTCTTCTTATTAATCGCCAAATTCAGCTGATAAACACTTAAAGCTAAAGAAACCAAGCCCCCAACTACCAACCCCAGCCATAAGCGCCAAGCTACAACCCACAACATTGCGCTTGAGGCACTACCTAGGCGCCCCAGAGCCATACTGTGTCTATCGAGGTGGGTCCTGAGGCCTGCTCCGTAGCTCTGATAGAAGTAGGAAAGGAAATAAATAATAGCTAGGATGAAACCCATTAACACCAAATGGATGCTGCGCTTACGAGCCGAACGAGAATCTGCATGCAAACGAGCTGGATGCCCCTCAGGCAAATGCGCAAAGTCATGCACCTTTGACAGCAGCTTCCCATACTTCTCTCCGCTTCCTCTTTGGCTGCTAGGAGACCCCAATAAACTCCGAACAGGATCGTGCGCTAGCTGCTCGTCTGCATTCGCACCATGCTGGGCGTCTCCAGTGCCCGGTGCAAAGCTTGGCTTCTTCTCATCTCCCGCCCCCCTCGGACCCACCGCATCGATCTCTACAACTTGCTGGGGCCCTGCAGCTGCAGATTCTACTGCTGCTGCTGCATGCAGCTTCAGCAGCAAGAAACAGCAGCATAACACCAACACCTCTCCAATACGCATTGCAGCAGAAGAACACCTACGTAGGCGCCTTACTCCTCCTACGCCTCCCATCGTCGACGCCTTGCTGCACAGCAGCAAACCTAAAAAGCGCCCAGCCACCAATCTTCAGTGAATTTAACAAGTAAGCAGCTGCAGAAAGCAATAGGGGCAATATTCATAGAACGCCCCTCAGCTGCTCAGCAAAGCCAAGCCACGCCCGATCTCCCTCCCTCTATGGAGCCCCCCCTACAGCTTCAATCAGCTTCTTCTGATGATCTAATCAAACAAAAATGCCCAAAAAGATAATTACTCCAAGGAAGAAGAGCCCCCCTCGTCAGCGACGGGAGTACACCGCCGCTGCGGTAGGGCAAATTCAAAGGTTGCTGCTGAGAAGCTGAGGAGAATATATGGAGAGAGTTACTGCATCAGGAGGATAATACAAATGAAATCTTGAAAAAGGGGAAATAAGCATGTAAATGCGGCTCTAACAGCAGCAGCGGCTGCTGCTACTCCCGAGCTCCACCATGTGCAGCAGGAGGTACCGCTGGGCGCAATGCCGAACGAAGTCTAATGAAGCCTTTGTAAGAAGTAAGCAGGAAATAATTGCAAATGAAACGCAAATGAACAACAAAGCAGCTCAAAATCTTCCCCTTCCACCCCAGAAAAAAACCCCTGCCGCCTATGCGGGGCTGCAATGCGGCGCCTGGTCTGTTACTCGGGTTGGGTATAGCAGTAGTAAGGGAAGCGCTCTTGCATGCAGAGTATTCAGAAGGAGTTCATTGATATGTTGTAAGCCCTTTTAACGTCCTGGAAACAGGTTTTATTCAGGGAAAAAAACAAAAAGATGAGGGGAAATCAAAAAAAACAGCAACCCTCTTAGTATGGACTGAACGCTGCAGCAGCAGCCCTCATCGTGACAGCAGCAGCGGCTGCACGTTTTGTTAATTTCTCTGCTTTTCTCCGCTCAAATGCAAATCTACAATTTTTAAGTGTTTATTTCTCCGCGCTAATGCCTCTGCAAAGCCGGAGAGCGGTGCAGGCGCCGCTGCTTTTGCTGTTGCTGCTGCTGCTGCTGTTGGTGGGAGGTGGGTTTCCTGCATCATTGGATACAGCAATAACAGCAGAAGCAGCAGCGGGAAGAGCAGCATCAGCAGCAACACAAGGCTTTGGAGGAGAAGAGTGGCCTCTCGGTCTTGCTGTTAGCGGGGGAGTTGCTACTACGTCTCCTGCTTGGGGTGTATCGCGTGCTGCAGCGAACACGTGGGACAGTTCTCTAAGCGCATATGCTACAGATACATCACGATGGAAGTCTGGGGGCCCCCAACTTGATTCTTACCTGAGGCCCCCTGAGGGGCCCGTTGGGGGGCCCGTTGGTGGGCCCGTTGGGGGGCCCCTTGGGGGCCCCCTTCCTTGGTCTGGCCGTCTGGGATCGACTGGGAGTCGTTCTGTCTTGGGGCCTTCTGCTGAGGGTACCTCCTCACAAGTCTGGCAGGGGCCCCCTGCAAAGGATTGGGGAGATATTACTGCAGAGCTTGCACTGGGGAGTGTAGAAGGCGAAGGGTCAAAGGCCCCTGTAGCTGCAGGCGCTGTTTCTGTTGCAGGTGTACGACGAATGCTGCTGGGTTTGGTGCTGCTGCTGTGCAGCAGCATTGTATTTGTCTCGGTGAGCCTGAAAGAAATAGAAGAGCTGCGAAAAGCTGAAGAGAAGCAGCAGCAGCATTTATCGCGCGCTTTGAAAGATATGGGTTTGTCGCTGCTGACATATATTAGTCCGGGGCTTGGTGCAGCAGCAGCAGGCGTAAATTTTCTTTTACAAGAACAGCAAGAAGACAAGCCTCCTCCGCCTCCGCCGTCACTTTACAAACGCATTCAGCAGTATGCAGCGCAGCACACTGCGTTTGCTGCAGCAGAAGCTGCTGTCTTTCTTTTAGGGTTTTTGCTGCTGCTCTCTGGTGCCAGTAGAATATACAAAACAGCGCCGGCTGCTCTTGCAGACAAACTCAAAAGGAAGCATTACACGTAAAATAGAATTAAAACAAGAAAATAAACAAACGGAGAAAAACAAAACAAAACAAACAGTATTATGCATGCATTTGCATGCAAGGGATTGCATGCATGCATCGCATGAAAGGGAATTGCATGCATGCATGCGCATGCAAGGGAATTGCATGCATATGATGAATGATGCTTGCATGGGTTTGGGGCTTGCATGCATGCATGCAAGCCCCAAACCCATGCAAGCATCATTTTTTATACGTGCAGGAAGGCTCCGTTTAAGCATGCATGCATGCATGCATGCATGCATGCATGGACGAAAGCCCTGTCTTGGGTAAGGGCGACGTGCTTAGTGTTGCGGGGGTTCGAGACCTTCGAGCCCCTCAATTTAAGGTGTACAGACAGCTCTGTGGGAGTAAAGACGCAGGAAAGAAAGGGAGAAGGGGAAGGTATTGAGGGAAGAGACAATAAGCGAATTATAAAGAAAATTAAACAGAGTAGAGTCAGGCAGCCATGCGCAGTGAATGCTGCTGTTGCGGTGTACGTACACCGCAACAGTTTGCATTGCATGCAGTGCATAGATGCAGCTCAAGCCTTAAACTCTACTGCAGCAGCGTGCAGCCTGTAGCAGCAGCAGCCTGCAGCTGCAGCAGCCTGTAGCAGCAGCAGCCTGCAGCTGCAGCAGCCTGCAGCAGCAGCAGCTGCAGCAGCCTGCAGCAGCAGCAGCAGGCTGGCGTTTGTTTGTGTTAGTCGTTTGCTGTTTATATAAAATTTTTGTTATAGTGAACGACTCGTCAAATTTTTTGTTTTGTCTTGCGAAGATATTTTTGGGGTTTGTTTGGTTGCTGCATTTTGCGTTTGTTTTTAGAGTTGTTGATTTGTGTGTCTCTCTTTGTTTCTTTTTGTCTCTCTTTATCTGTTTCTTCCTCATCTTCTCTGTCTTTGTCTTTGTCTTTATCTTGGGGCTTAGTAGCACTTTCATTGCCGCTGTCTTCGCTCTCTGCTGCTGTTGCTGCTGTTGCTGCTGCTGCTGCTGCTGCTTCTGCATGCGCGTCGTCTGTTGTTTTGTTTGCGTCGCTGCTGCTGCTGCTCTGCTGTCTGTCTCCTGACGCCTGCATAGTAGCTGCAAACTCATAGCCGTCATCTAGCAGCCCCATTCCCTGCAACAAACAAATGCATGCATGCATGCATGCATCTGTTTGTTTCTAATACTACTTCAAATAACATTAAATAAACATAAGGCAACAAAACAAAAGGAAAACGAGCAACCGACAGCACAGAACTAAATAAATAAATAAAACAAACTAAAACAAACAAACAAACAAACAAACGCGAAAGATAACGAGAAAGATAAGGGGTTTTGTTGTTGTTTACATTCTGAGCTGTCTCCCCTCGCGCTGCTGCAATCTTCTGCAGCAATTCATTGATCACCGTTTGCAGAGCTGCTGCACCTTCCTGCTCAAACACAAACCCTAAACCCTAAACCCTAAACCCTAACCCGCAAACACGAGGTGAAGATACCGAGTTTGTTAGGGTTTCTGTTGATGACAGTTGTGACCCTAGTGGGGTGCTGCTGTTGCTGCTGCTGTTGCTTCTGCTGCTGTTGCTGCTGCTGCTGTTGCTGCTGTTGCTGCTCTCTGTATATCTCTGTCTCTCTCTCCTCCTCTGTCTCCGTTTCTCCTCCCTCTGTCTCTCTGTTTGTTTATCACTTCAAGTTAAAGGGTTTTTGTCTGTCTCTTTGCGTTTGTTTGTATTTCTTTCTGTTTCTGATACAATATATATATATATATATGTATATGTGTATATAATATATATATATATATATATATATATATAGATTTTTGTGTGTTTGTTTGTTTCCTCACCTCTCCAGTAGCATCTTGATTATTATTTTGTTGCTGCTGCATTTCTTGTTCCTGCTGCATTTGCTGCTGCAGCATCTGCTGCTGCTGCTGCTGCTGCTGCTGCTCGTCAAGGCTGTTATGTTTTCCTCTTCTTTGTTTATTAAACCCTCGTACTGCTGCTCTTTTGCACAACCCTTTAAGCTGCTGCGCTGCAGCAGCAGAAGCACTTATAGCCCCTCTTAATAAATAAAATAAATTATTTATTCTCTCAATACCCTTTAAAATATTGCTGCTGTTTGCTGTTATGTCGCATATTGCTTTAAAATATACATCTAAACAACTCCTCAAAACATTCATTTCATACAAACACCCACCCCCACCACCAGTAGGGGGCCCCCCCTCTCCTCTTAAGGGGGCCCCCATCCCTGGGGGGCCCCCCGCTTGGGGGCCCCCAGAGGAG